GCCCCGCTGCCCCCCAGCCCGCCCCGCCGAGCCCCCGGCAGCGTCCCGGGACCGGAATGGTGCAGGAAAACCTCTGCTGTGGGAGAGGTGGGAGAGGGGAAAGCCTGTGTTAATGCCTAGCTAATTTAGAACGGCCAGATGATGATGATGGTTACTAATATTACTGAAGGGGGTCTTTCTTTTTTTTATTTTTTCCTTTTTTTTTTTTTTTCCTCCTTTTTTTAAAGAATGCACATGATCTGGCGAGGGAGTTACTGGGCTGCAGCCTAATGACCATGAACAGAGGGAGACAGGCTCCATAATGAAAGCCAGGACTGTAGGCTAAAGAAATGAATCCTCATTAAGAGCAGCTCGCAGGGGCGAGGGGCTGCCCCCCCAGCTCCCCAGCCTTTGTTCCCCAGAAACCGGCCCGGATGGGGCGATGCTGGGAGGGGAGAGGGAGAGAAAGAAAAGGCGACACCGATATGGAACCAGGAACCTTGTGTTAACCACTTAAAGGGTGACCTGAAAAGGGAAAGGGGAAGCCATCCCAGCTCCAGTGGTTTTGCACCCGCTCCAGCTGGGAACGCTGGGGTCTGTATTTGGGAAGTGGCACAGTCTGATGAGACTGGCTTGTCGCTGTCTGGGGAAGGTCCTGGGTCTTCTTGCTCTGTACCACCAGCGCAGAGAGAGAGTGTGATCAGCTCCAACGGGGCCTTTCCATTCCTTTCCCACTCCTCTGGGAATTTTATCCATGGCCGGGACCCCGGCAGGTTCCCCGCCGCTCCGCTGCTCCGCGGGAGTTCTACCACCGGGCTGGCTCGAGATTTCCCTCCGGAGTGCGACCCGCAGCGACCCCCAGGAGCGACCCCATTCCCGTGGGACGCGGTGCCGCGTCCGGGAAAGTCGAGTCTCCTGCGGTGCCCAAGCTCCTGGCTCAGTCCCCGTGTCTTATTAGAGCTGCCTGTGAGCCTGGGGGTGCACTCAGGCGTGTCTGCTTAGTTTCGGCCCTTTCCCCCAGTTTATTCTTCCCCCCCGCCCCATATAATGGAGACACTACTCGTGACATTAACAGCCGGCAATGACAACAACTTTAATTTAGGTCACGGCTCTGACCCTTGCTACAGGTAGAGTTTACCCTGCGTAGATGAACCCACTGGAGAACAAGAAAGAGAACTCCACATGAAAAAAAATATATATAAAAAATACGGCCAGCCATCCATAGCCTCCCGCTGGCCTGCATGGACGCAGTGTGCTCTCTGGCCTCAGGACAGGGCATATTCTCCCCTCCCTAAAGCAAAAATATGCTGACCAACATACCTATACACCTTCATATCAGCAGTTATCAGCTGTCTTGGGTCTAAGAATCTAGGTCCCTGGGGATTATTTATCTAGACGGAGCTTCCAAACGCAGCAGAGGTGCGAATACATTTTTAAAACATTTGACTGGCGTTAAGTATTGCATTAAAAATCAGCCTCGGGAAGGAGAAGCCCCACTTTAAAGTCTCGGTAGGATTGTCGGAGATTTGGGAGTTCGTGAAGGGATGCTGGCTGGGAGAGCCGGAGCGCACGCAGTCCCTCGGAGGAGTACCTGGAAAATCTGGGATTTTATGGCCTTGGATGTGTCTGGGCAGGACCCGGCCTGGTGCCCTGGAGCGCTGCGGGACGGGCAGGGCTGGAGCGGGCACCGGGAAGCGGCGCCGATCCCTGCTCTCCCCGGGGCTGGCTCTTACCCCGCTCCCCCAGAGCAGGCGGGAGGGATTGTCAGCCCCAGGACAGTGCCCGCTGTCGCCCATAGAAAAGGTTCCTGGAAATGTCAGCCCCTCCGGGGAGCGGGGATGGGGTTTTCGGGAGCGTTTCCCACCGAGTTATCCGGAAGCTCTGGTGGAGGGAGGACCTCAAGCTCAGGATGCTGTGCTGGGGGGTGCTCGATAGGGAAAAGACCCGTGTTTCGATGTGCTTCGCACATTTACCTTATCCTTTTTAAGAGTGCCATGATTGTCAAAATAACAACCATCAATCACTCATTTTCTTCCTACGAATAAAGTTACATTTAAAGCTGTAATCTGCTTGATATTAGTGAGGTTGTATCCTCGCTTAAGTTACTGATACCTGTTGAAAGCACCAAAGAGACCCTAAAATGCTGTTGGACACAGAGAGATGCTCACCCACTTTCCACTCTCACACCGCATATTCATTAAATCTTTGTCCTTCGGCGTATTATTTGGGGTACTTTTACTATGAAGTATCAGGCCATGGCTGGTATATCTGATGTTAGAATAAAGATGCAGTGAAAACTCAAAAACCTTGAATTATTTTGAGATGGGTAAGGGAAGACTTTCCTTGTACAGGGCTCTGGTCAAGACCATGGCTGCAGACGGAAAGGATCTACCACCCAAAATTTATCTTTAGTTCCCTTTAGGGTGTAGCCATGAACCTGGTTTTAAAATCTAAAGTCCGTCGGGATTTGTTTGGTCGCTGCTTTTACCTACAGGTAAATACACCTGGCACCAAATCTCCTTTTACACTGACGTTTTCACATAAAATCTTCAATTTGTTTCTGTCAGTTTCTATCTGGGTTTTCACTGACAATTTCGACAAAAGTAATAAACAAATTCCCAAAATATTTAAATAAACTTTCCTTTCCTTTCCTTTCCTTTCCTTTCCTTTCCTTTCCTTTCCT